AAGCATGACTGAAATTTGGTCCTTTTAACTTTTGTATTTGTTTTAGCATTGGCACCTTGATATTGAAGACATGTCTTTTTGCTTTTTTGATTTATTTTATATTATTTTTTTATTTATGCACCAGTGTTGTGTTTTGCTCTTCTCTGTTCTATCATTTTGCCAAAACTTGACATTGGTTATTACATACAGTATTTATGTTGTAAAGCATTTTGAACTGCTTTCTTCCTGAAATGTGCTACACAAATAAACTTGACTTTAACTTGACTTGATTTGATTTTCTAATTGGTAAATGTAATTTTATTTACAGGTATTATAACACATCCAAAGTTATTTCTGTAAATCTTGCTAGAATTCAACACTTAATTTTAGCAAACATTAACCAAATGTATGCATGAGGTTCAAGAAAAAAGAAGAGATTTAATTTTCCCTTCAATGCACCATAGTACTTTATTAATATTGATCTGATTTTACTCAACTTAAAACAAAAGTGCATTTTATGGAGTACTAGTCCTTGCAGGGCAATAGAGAAACCAGTTTAACTCAGTCAGAGTATGTGTAGAATATGAAAATTTCATGCAGACAAAACGCAAGCTGGGATTTAAATATCTTATAAAAAAAACATATTTTTGTAAACTTATTGTGCTGATTTTATTTATTTATTTAACAATTCAAACCCACATTATCTTCATGAAATGTACGAGCTAGATATGGGGAAGATGTACAGAATGGCACAGAGTGAGAGAAACAAGAAACAATGGACCAAATGGAAAATTTTGAAATCAAATGGACGCCAAGGGGACGAAATGCTAACATCCCGATATGTGGCTTTATATAACAGAAAAAGCAGAGACAGAGAGAGCACACAATGTCCTTGCTTATCTCAATTCTGTGCAAAAGACAAAGAGCCAGTGTTCCCAGGAATTATTGGGTTCTTGGATCAATAGTGGTGCTATGATAAGACAGTGATAGAGTTTGTGATCTGGGGCTTAAAACACAGGGGTGCACTATCTCTTCTTCCTTCTCTGCTTTTTTTGTCCACAGCAGAGTCAGCTGAATTCAAGCTTTTTAATAGAAACAGTAAAAAGAAAATCACAAATAGTTCATTTAAGTCTTGGTGAGAAAGGTAAAGAGTATAAAGAATAGACTTACAAATTATTATAGACTGCATACAAGATCCAATATGGTGTCTAATATTGTAATATAGCACAATTTCACAGTAGCTTTTATTAGAAATACTAAGGTTTCAAATTTTTAAAACAGAAATGTATACCAAAATACAATCCCTGCTGCTCTTACAATAAAATAAGAATAAAACAGTTTTACCTTAATAGGCGGGGCAATTCCACAGTTTTTAAATGATTCTGCCTGTTGCCTGGAAATATAATTTGTCTGTCTTGTAAGACAAAGTAATGTGTAAGGGTCTTTCTTCAGCCAGCTGAGTGGCAGTGTGCAGCAACAAGTGGCTCCAAAGCAGCACTCTGCACAGAGAAAACTCCAGAATCACGATATTTATAACGAGGTGGGTTGCCAAACAGCTGGATATGTCCCTCATTTAAGCCACAAAAAAAGTCTAAAAGCCTTTTTTCAGCATTCTCACCAGCAGTGCAGATTTGTCAGAAGACTCTTGTCTCTCTGGCACAGTGCCTATCATTTCATTACAAGGACTTTAAACTGTGGAAAAATTGATTGAAATTATACATTGATACTGAGAAGTGATTCATGCAACTAGCTAATATACCAACAACTTAGAATTACTTCCAGATTGAAAGATAGCATTTAATCTGTGTGATAAAAATGAACCTCCAAATTATTTATTTTCAGTTTATTTATACTTTTAGGTTAGTAAAAACAAATAAATGTCAGGTTTTTGCATTCAGTTGTCATTTTTGGCATGGACTATAAGGCTCTCTGCCCAGGGCAGCACAGATTTCTCAACCAGGTTATTGCATTTTTTAAATTATTTTTGATATCATAATCACCCAGCAGGTTTGTCTTTTATCAGTTTATTTGTTTTGAATAAGTGTCACAAAGTTTTAAAATTATTTATCATGGTCTCAATTTTTACAGCACGAAAACCTTTTTTAACGGGAGTATGTGTACTTTTACACGTACTCTTCAAAAGGGCGGCAATTACGTAAGATCAAGTTTTTTGAGCTTTACGTCATGTCTTTCCCCGTTGCTTTGACTCTTTCATGCAACTCTTTCAAGCGCCGCCTTTGCCGACTCTTCGGAGCTGGAGTTTCCAAGCCATGTTTTTGCATCACAGAGTACCACTCCAACGCAACTTCCTCACTCAGCTCCTTCAGACTAGCCAGCAAGCACCTGGTTGGAAACCCACATCTGCTGAGTTTGTTACATGAGCTTTTTTCAGTGAAACGTTGATAAAAAAAAACGCTGTTAAAGGAGCACCACTGTTGTGATGACTTCCTGAAGGTGGAGTACTGGAAAGAGCAGGAGTTTTTTTTTTTAAAGAGACAGAGGTCCAATTTCAAAGTCTTAAATTGTGAATTAAGATTTATTTTAAGCCATATTTGATATGTGCAGCATTTTTATAACAAAGGAAAATAGCATAGTTACTTAATTGTTCTATAAGATGATACTATCTGGCTGGAGAACACATACTAATGCCCTTTTAAAACAACATCTACTTTACGCTCTGTTTATTGAGCCAATTACTCAGATTTAAAAAAAAAAAAGATGGGTGTGTTATCTTTGTGTTCAAAATAAAATCCAAAGAATTTTCTGTAACTTGGAAGAAAAAAACTAAAAACTTCAGCCAATGATATTGTACAGCTGTTCCCCACTTTGGACTCAGTACAAATTAGAAGACACATCATGTTATAGAAATTTGTAAAATCCTACTCTGTTTAAAGTATATCTGTTCCATAACTGAGGCCATCTGTGCACTTATTTGTTATATAAACAAGATTATTGGGAAAATGTTGATCCTTTATAAAATGATGGTCCTCGCTCCTTTCCTATCTCTTTTGTTCCTCTATTCTTTTATGAAAATGTCTGCTTGCCAGAGCAGGTGTTTGTATCCCCATATAGTAGAAGGCTTTAGCACATACGCAGAAATATATTCTGTCTTTCTCTCTCCCTCTTTTTCTCTCTCTCTCTCTCTCTCTCTCTTGCAGACAGAAATACATGTGCATATCCAAGCACATATACACACAGGGGCGTGCGTGCAGACAGACAGTCAGCTGTGCCCTTCCCACAGCAAGTAGCATGAAAACACAGTGCTGCCTGTCCCTGCCTTACATACACACACACACACACACACACACATATATATACACACACACATGGACACACAAACTCTACAAAGAGCTCTCCACATACTCTTAAAGGGACATGACACACAATTAAACTTAGCCGTCAAGAACCGGCACCACACCTCGACAACAACAAAGTGCATGAGTTACAGCCGTGTCGTCCCTTATATCTGTTAAATGTGACTATTTGTGTTTCTGTACTCAAACAGAAGACCGTGTTTTGTATTTCAAAAATTTGATTTAAATAGACTTCATTCACTTTTTTCTTTCAAGTCTTGCATCTTCATAGTTTAGATTGAATGCAAGATGTTAATAATAATAATAATTAAAAAAACACCTGGCACCATTCAAAATCAACCTGTTAAGAGCTAGAGCTGTGACACCAAAATTTGTTACAGTGCAAACATTTATGTTTAAAGTTCAAATCAAGAAATGGATTTAAATGCAAACCTGCAGAAAATGAAGCCACATGAGCAGCAAAAGTAGCAACTCATAATGATTGTGAGCAGTTTAATTTTGGAGCTATATGAAACATATCTTCAAATTTTACATGCAGTCTAATTGCATTGTAAGTTATTTTCTACATGCCCATCAGAGCCTTTTCCTTTCATTGGAGCTCTTATTCCCGTTTGGGCTGACTTAACTCTCATTGAGAATGACCCCTGATCAAGCCAAAATAACTCTAACTGACCTTCTGCTGTTAATATGTGTTGAATCCACATGCGCACGTTTTCTTACAACAGTAAAGCAAAAAGCAATAAAGTATTACTTCCCAATGCTGGTTTGAAGCTTCATACTAATTAATAATCAGTATGAAATGTAAAGTACGGGAAGTATAGGGACCAGTGAGGGGAATAAGAAGCACACTAAAACCGGTTTTATCAAACTCTTAATCATTTTGGGGTTTTTTTTAATGACCTAATATAAGCTGGGTTCATGTTTTTAAGTTTCTCTGTGGCAAATAAATTTGTTGATTTCATGGATTGAAACTTGTGTTAATTAGCACCTGCAAATTCTTGCAGGCATTGACTTCAAAATATAAAAGTTCACTTAATGTTTGGCCTAAACAGTTAGAGTGATCCTTGAGAGAGAGAGAGGGAGAGAGAGAGTGATCAGAACTGAAGGAAATACATTTAAAGAGAAGAAACCAAACAAATAAAGGAATAATTATTGATAAATGTTGCTTAATTTTCTTTTCTCTCTTAAATACATGTTTAAAAAATAATAAAATGCAATAAAGTTGTACAATATAATCTGATCAGGAGGTCAGTGGTGCTGTTGAGGGCCCCAAACTATATTCTGCCTAGGGCCTCATTCAGGCTGGAGCTGGAAGGGTCTGTGAACATCAGGATTTAGCTTTGAGTTAATTTATAAAGTACATTATAAATTGGAGGTGGCTAATTATTGTTTAAGGTGCACAAATGTGACCAAAGACACCCCTGATTTCATGTTGGTATTATATATTTAGTACATAACACTGTTTAGAATTATTAAACATAATAGTAATGGCAAAATGCAACAGTGTGATGCTGTAGATGGAAAAAAAAAGGAAGAAGTTGCACGAAGGCCTGAAGAATAGAACTTGAACTTGAGCGAAGTCTGTACAAACTTGGACACTGTGCCTTTAAGAAGCCCCCACCGTCTCACAACAGGGGGGGCGTGAGCTGAATCCAGGAACAGCGATTGAAAAAAAAAAAAAAAAAAAAAAAAACTCCACCACCGGACTGTTTCAAGTTCCCCTCTCCGCCTGAAACCCTGCCTGATTTGTGGGCAATGTTGGGGATGTAAAAAAAAAAAGAAAAAAAAAAAAAAAAGAAAAGGAAACCGGAGCAAAGAGAGCGTAAGGAAGGGAGAGATAGAGAGACAACACTAACTGGGTAGCTATGGAGATAGTAGGTTTTCCTGGTCGCTTTCTTTGACAGGTGTCGAGTGGGATAAAATAAAGTGTGAGAACAGCCTCCAAGATGTACGGCAAGGGTAAAGGAGCTGTGGTCCCCTCCGACAGCCAAGCGAGAGAAAAGTGAGTAAATTATCGCAGTGTCACAACAGCAAACCCCCGTGAAGAGAGAGGAGTGTGCTAGGTGGCTAAACTTGCTAACTGATGTCGAGGCAGTTCAGCAACTTCAGACTCGTGCACAAGTTTTGTTCGTGTAACTTTTCTTTTGTTTCTTGCGAGTGAAGCCGTGCTGCTTGTGTTTCTGCCACTTTTCTCCCGGGCGTGCTGTTGCCCTTTCTTGCCTCTTCTTCTTTAGCATCCTCCAACTTGCAGGCATGTCTGCCAAGTTAGCCCCAGCAGCTAGCTGCAGCCAGTTTCACTCTTGGATTTAATTGTTTTGTTGCTCATGTTCAACCTAAAGTGGCTGCTAAAGTTGCGCCACTTCCCCCCCTCTTCTTTACACGCGTGTGTGCTTTAAATATCCAATAAGGAGCATGGAAGTGGGGGGGATCCCACTCGAGTTTCTTCCTTTCTCCTCAGCCCCACCACCATGGGGGAACAATGCATTTGGATTTATTGTAGCTGCGCATTTGGCATTGTATCCGACTGCCTTTTTGTGTATATACGTGTGTCTGCTCTCGGTAAAAAAAAAAAAGGATACAGCTGTTTTGTGTGTGTGTGTGTGTGTGTGTGTGTGGGGGGGGGCTTTGTTACACACCAGCCGTGTTCGTGGCTTGTTCGCGCAGGGGTTGCGAGTCTCCTGGCGCTCGGCAGCGTTGGATCCACGCGTGTTTTCGGCGACTCTTCGTGCAAAAGCGGAGCGGCGCTTTGTAACTTTTGTGCCCCGCTCCGTGCAAATCTCACCCCCCTCCCCGCCAGCAAAAGCGATCCACGCTGCCGCCCGGAATAGGCGCTGATCGGTGGGGTCTGTGCAAGGGAAGCTGCAGCCCCCACTCAGCCTCTTTGTCTGCGTGCCTCTGTCTCGCCCAGAAGACGCACGCAGCTTCCCTTCTTCAACACTTCAGCAAGACAGATCGCTTCCAGATTGACCTTAAATATCAGTTCAATAATCACCCCGTGCATTCGCGGGCCAATCAGGGGCCACTGACCTGGATGAGTCTCCACTGATGTCATCCTATTTGGTCGGTGTTAAAACTTTGTTGGACTGAACTTTTTTTCTTTTGTTTTGTTTTATATGTGCGGTTGCAATCACACCGGGACAGAACCTGAGTTTAGATCAACAGGCACCTCTTTGTTTTCTCAAAGCTCTTCCTCATCTCTTTCTTCATCCGCTGCACCTCGGTCCTCATCCCTCACATTGCTGTTGAATTATTGAGACGGACCGAAGCAGCTGCTCTCAGCTTTGCGTCAAGAGTTGAGAGAGATGGAGGAGAGAAGAAGAGGAAGATGTGGTGGGCAGACTCATCCATGTTTAAAGAGGGGGTTTTGTCGCGAGCCCCGGGCGAGGTGTCAGATGTACTGATGGTGCACACCAGGGAAATTTCACTCTTTGTGGAAGCGAATGCATTTTCGCGCCGACGTCGCCCATCCTAGAAGTTTAGAGGGAGAGAGGGGAGGTCAAAGGGCACCCCGCTTTCCTCTGGTCATTGCGTTAACTTTTAAACTCGATCCGCTGCTTCGTTTGTCCTGCAGGGAGTGACTCTTTCTCCTTCTCTTTGCTCCTGGAGTGGCTCGTCTCCTCAAACTTCCCCTGCTTTTCAGTGAGGCAGCTCGCAAACTTTAATAATGCAGCAGGCCAGGTGCATGCACAAGCACAAGCAGCCCCCTCGATGTGTGGCGCACGCACATCGACGCCACGCATCAAATTTTTATCGAAGGTCTCATGAAGGATGGGAGGGCATGGGCAGCATGATCCTTCCATCCCCAAACATGCGAATGGAGTCCTTAAACATCTCCTACTGCGAGTCAAACTCCTCTAAGGATGCACATGTATCAAGCCTGCACAGAGCAGGGAGATGGCATCAATATTTGAAGACTTTGCTGGATCCTGCGAGCTTTTGCCAGACATTTCAAAACTCCTTCAAATCACTTTACATCTATAGGTGTTTAAGTGAGATTCAGCACCAGTGAAGTTGCTTGAAAGGTGTAATGTGTGTGTGTGTGTGGGCCAGTGCTAGACTGACCTGCAAGTGGCAGTGACTTACACTCTACACCAGCGGTCAAAGAGAGCTTTGTGACCTACAAATTGCTGGAAACCTCAGAAAGTGGTCAGATTCCCCTGCCTACAGTGGTCAAGTGTTTTTTTTTGGTCATTTCTACTGGTAGGGTTACGAACTATGACCTGTGTTTAATCAGGCGCATTAGAGAAGTTGCAGTGATGATTAGCCTGAATTATTTTGGGAAGTATTTAATTCAAGACAGCTTCTGCGTTGTCTCTAAGGCGTAGTCCGGATGTCTCAGAAAACAAAAATATTTTTTATGCATTTATTTATTTAATATCGCTAAAAATTATTATGTGTTAAAAACTCTGACCAAAGTGGAGTTTTAAGACATTATGATGCAAAAATGACATACCAGCATGTTTGCTTTGACAGGATTCCCAGTCAACATCGTCTTGTATTTTATTGATTTTATATTCTAATACACTATTTAAATGTAGTTCAGCCTATAAACCTTTATATATCCGTCCACACAAATGAGCCTCCTATCATCATGTTTAGTTCCTACTAGGAAGTCGTTTTTGGTTTTGAAGCCGCCTGATTGGCTGACATAGGTTTCAGCTTTGCGCTACACTGCCCCCTGCGGGTTTGGCATGTTTAAAACAACGTGCAGATCGTGTGGATTCATGGGGATGAAAACTTTTCTGAAACTGATCACGTGTGTTCATATTTATATATTAAACAATGCGGCAGAGATGTTTGTTTTAATAAAAAGCCTAAGTTTGAACTGCCTTGTTGCTGAAAAAGTGCTATACAAATAAAACTACTTCTTCTTAAGTTTGCCTATTTGTATATTTCTTTTGTATCTTCGTGTGAAAGGGAACCCTCTGACATTCAGTCCATGATATTTATGTATATAAACATGGACAGATTGAATCTATCAATACATGACACTAAAACCTACTAATGTTTAACCAGGACTGACCCATTTACAGCCAAACACTGTTGTCACAGTGTTATTATGAGACTGTGGTCGTCCAGGTAGAGCGGGAGTGTTCAAACGTTTTGTCACATGGGATCAAAATTGTCCGGTCAAAAATACCTTCAGGCCAAAAATATATACGTTTTAAGTACTAACATCACCAAATACTGTGTATATATTTGTTTTTACCTCGTCAACGACAAACTATAAACTATGTTAATGAAAGGAAGAAAGGAATTATTTTTCTTAACATGATCATAGATCCAAAACCTCAAATAATTGTCATGTTTTCCTTGTTAAATGAAAGGCAACCAGTTTATTTTGGATTGAAAAAAACCGGACAAAAGAAATGTAAAAAAAAATCTGCAATAAAAACATGATCTAGGCCAGTCTTCATTTGAAAACACTCGCTGGGTTTTTATACAGCAATTGAAAGCAGATTTGGCTGAACCACGGTGTACTTAGAGTCGTTGTGGGCCTGTTTAAGAAAATTTGAAGGAAAACAGAACCCTTGGAAAATATTACTTAATTTTGTGTTTTTATTAGTAGATTTTCATTTAAAAGTAATGGTTTTGTCCTAATGTTTCAATTCATTGATTCTTGAACAAGGAAAAAAAAAAAAATCAGTCCAGGTGCCACAGTAGCGGCTGAGTAATGTATGACACTGTTATTTTGAATCTTGTTAAAAATAAATGTCAAATCATAATTGGATTTGAAAGCTAGTAAATGCAGAAGCAATGGTCAGTTTTGTGGTTGATTTTGAAGGCTGATTTTTGTAGAGCATTGACCCGTTATATATTAAGAAGAAAAGTTTTGACTTAGCCCTCTCGTGTCAGTGGTCTAATTATTTACACTGCTTTTGACTTTTTGATGTTTTCAAACAAAAGTTCTATTATTCTGGAGTTTACATTTTAAGAAGTATATAGCTATGTATATTTGCACCTAGAATAAGCAGTGTGTCTAGACACACTAATGTAGATTCCTACTATAAAGCTGATATTTCCAAACACAGCCAGCAGACCTCGTAACAGACTCTACTGGATGAAACGGAGCAACTTTGCTGTAATCCGTTCAGCCACTCTATTATATTCTAAAGGCCTCTCAGTCAACATGCCTGGACATATATAGTGGAAATAAAACAGTTTCTGATTTTACAACTTTTTGTTTCTCTGTGTTTTACATTAAATTGTTGAACACCTTACTGTTTCTGTTCTTTTCTCTTTCTATAACAGCTTCCACACTGAAGTGAGTTATTGTAAAAGCAACCTGGTTGTACTTGGATGTGGCAAAAAAACAAACAAAAAATAGACATGTCTTTTCCTGACCTTCTAATTACTGGTGAGGGCAGATCAAGCTAAAAATTTACTAATTAGACCTTGCTGATTTTCCAATAGGAGGCACATATTTCACTTAGTTATCTCAAGGGATATTTTGCAGTGTGACCTTTTATAAACAAGTTTGATATTCATTACATGCACAAGGTGGCATTGGAGAAATGTCCTCTCTAGCACCAAACTGCTTGTGAGAGACGCTATTTTAGCTTTTTAACATCTTGATCAACAAAAATCAATTTGTTTCCTCCAAACAGTTTTTTTTTTCCAATACAAACTTGACTAGCAATTCATCAATCAATCCACTGGCAATAAAATGGGCCAGTAAACTCTGATTGAAACATCTTACAATAATAATGAACATTTTATTCTTTTATTAATTACATCAAAGTTAAAATTCACATTGTTCTCAGTCTGTTAACACAAAGGTTGTGTTTCTTCATTTTCGACTTGATTCAAGAACATTCTCAGTATATATTCTTGATTAATGTTTACTTTTTCTGTTGGACTAAAATGAGAAAATCCCAGTTTGGCAGGTCAGAACTAAGAGAAAACAAATAAAAGCCTAATCTGCACATTCCTAAAACATCTTAAATGTGAATCAGAACCAGAGTTGTGATCCGTTTTCATATAAACTTCGCTCTATAAATGGGCATAAGCAACCTGGACAGTTTAATTATCAGCTTTGTGAAAAGTCAAAACATAGATCTTCGTTATCAGAGTTGTCAATTAAATCTGTTTTCTATAATTGTGTTCAACTTAGAAATAAATTGGGTCATGAAAATGACAAAACAAACCCTGGTATAATTATTAAAACAGAACAAAACCCTCTTAAGTGGAAACTCAATTGCTTCTCCATGGTACGCCAGGTTTTTTTTTGTGTTGTGTTGTTGAATCTTTAAATGTACAATTCTGTTTTGTCTTCAATTACTGAGAAACAGACTCTAATATTGGCCTGTTAGTTGAAAATGCCTGTGATTCTGTCTGGGGCTGAGATATCATGTAGGAATCATTGGCTCAGTGTTTGCCTATTCATATCTTCCGCAGACTACATTTGCATACTAACAACATATTTGCATACTATTGGTAGTGAGTACAGGTCAGGCATGGGTCGTATCTGTTGTAGCACTTTGGAGCAGTGTTCATTTCTCCTCCCCTGTGGCAGAAATACGCAGCATTCATGACACAAAGATTCACCTGGAGTCTTCTGGAACCTGCGCTCTGTTTTACTGCGACACATGCAAACAGTTATTTTGGATTTCCTTCATACATGAATGTCATCTGGTGTTTCAGCAAAGATAACATTTCAGAATCTTGGAGTAAACGGGTGCACTTGTGATTAGTAGAGGCAGGTGAGAAAAATTGATTGACGTTGCTGTTCCTGTTCTCTTCAATGTTCCGAATTGACTCGCCGGTGCTGCAGATCGTTTTTTGTTAATGACTTTCTGTTGGTGCGATGAAAAACCTGAATGTCAAATACAAAAGCAGGGCGCTGAAGGTTCACAGATTAACACTTGGTTATTGTACAGCATGCAAATACGGTCTTTATTAAAAAATATTGAGGAAGATGCCCTTCCTTGTCGGTACTGAGCCAGACTTCATCAAACATGGTGGAGCTCTCCACAGCCTAACTTGAGTCCTGGCAAGATTTGGGGAAAAGAAATCTCTTTCTCCATCATTCGTTTCTGACTCTACTTTTTACAACAGATGCCTCCTGCTTTGCAAAAAGAATTGTAGTGTTTACCATAAAATCCAAAATTTTTTGCTAATTTTCAAATCTTGCAGTGAAAGCTATCAGTTTCCGCTGCTCGGGTTTTAGTTGTTCTTTCAGAACCACTTAAGGGTGTCAAACTCCAGTCCTCAAGGGCCACTGTCCTGCAACTTTTTGATGTGCCTCTGTTGCACCACATCTGAATGCAATAACTAGATCTTTAGTAAGACTCTGGAGAACTGATCTATACAAGGAAGAGGATATTAAGCCATTTCATTCCAGTGTTTGTACCTGTGGCACATCCAAAAATTGCAGGACAGCAACTCTTGAGAACTGGAGTTTAACATCTGTGATGATGATGATGATGATGATGATGATGTTGATGATGATGATGATATGGGGTAGCTGGTACTTGTCTCTCCGGGTACCTGCTACTTGGAGAGGCAAAGCTTCATACTTTGTCTACTAAGTCGGACTTGTTTCCGGTTAGCGTTGTTCTTTGTCACCGACTCTACTCATAACCTGTATCGACAAAATTTCTTCTCTCAACCAAGTTGTTGAGAGAATCCAATTTTCTGACCTCTGGATTATCTTTTTGCAGATGATGTGGTTCTTTTGGCTTTTCATGATCTCTAGCTTTTACTGGAGCGGTTTGCAGCTGAGTGTGAAGTGACCGGAATGAAAATCAACCCCTCCAAATGTAAAAACCGTCGTCCTGAGCCCAAAAAGGGTACAGTGCCTTCTCAGTCGAGGAGAACTTAAATTCTTCCCAAATGGAAGAATTGTAAGTTTGTCAGGGTTTTGTTCACAAATTAGGGGAACAATTACGTGGCACATTGATAGACCTGTGGTGCGGTGTTCTGTGGGTGTCCCACTGGGAGGGAAATCCAGAGAAAGATTTGGGTTATTCTGGAGGAGCTATGTTTAAAAAAAAAAACAAAAAAAATTAAGAAAAAGTTTTTTCTTTTCATTTAAGTCCTAATTAAAATGGAAAACAGATGTTAAAGGCAGCGTACTATAAGTGTAATGATACGAAGTGCAGAATCAGATTCCAGTTTTTGCAGTATCGGTGTGGGCAGTGCTCAATCTCATCTCTGGTAGAAGTTTTTGGTAGGAAAGACTAGTTCATGTGCATTAAACCTGGGATTTCCCTTGTTATTTGTGGACCGTTTGATGATCTTCTATGAAACTGATGTTGGTGACCAAGATTTAAAAGCTTTTAAAAGGTGAAAGGAGGAGAAAAGAGTGAAAACATGTTTGCTCTCAATAGGCAAACTGAGAGCAGTATTGGAGTTAATAATCTCTCTTGTTGGCATGAAGATTATCAATGCGCTTTGCATTTGATTATATTGCAGCCATGTTTCAATTCAGCAGATAGAAAAGCAGAAGATGTCTTTGAAATAGCTGTAAATTGAGTCTCTATACCGCACAGTACAGGAAAATTTAGAGCTATCATTGTTTGAAAGCAAATTGCACAACAGCCTGATTATCTCAGAAACCATGTTTCATTGATCAGCTCATTGACTGCTGATGGTGACGATGACACTGAGCTACTGTCCTTCTCATTAGGACCTTATTGGCCTGTCAGAGGAGTGTCTGCTGTGGGCACACAGGGTACTGTCATATCCACACTCCAGGTCGATTGATGGTCCATTAACAGCCTATTAAACATGACTAAGTGAAGGAGTTTGGAGTACAATGTTGAGCCAATGGGGGTTTCCCACTCTGCCTGACAAGATTAGTGGATTCCCATTTTTGAAGTTTTGTTGGGCTTTTCTAGCAGTGATTTACTTTGTATGTATTTTTTTTTAAATTGTCAGACCAGAGCTTCTTTTTTTTTTTTAATTGGTGGGAATGCCTGTTTGGCTTGCTCCAGTGAGTCATTAAATTAAATACAGTTATTGCATGATTATCAGTTGTGCATTTATTGAAAGTTGAAAAAAAAAAATACATTTCCTCATAATGTTTTTCACCATCTGTCTGAGTTGACCTAGTTATGGAGATTATGTTGTTTGAAAAGTTTTTAAAATAATGCCAATGCCGTGTCTGCTGCTGTGACGTCTCATTGCATTTCAGAGGTACTTGACTGTCATAAGAATAACAATTTTACCCAATATGAGCAATAATAAAAAGGCAAAGCTCTGATTGGTGCAATATTTGGTGCAATCTTTTTAGCAATGCTATAAAAATGTGCTTGTCAATAACAGATTGGTTAAATTGGATTGGCTATCACTCTTTTTTACCCATATCTAGGTGACCTTGATGGTAAAGGTCAAGTAGGAGGTTATGGATGAGAAAGTGGCATAAATTCAATTCCCTTGGATTATGTGTGTTACTCAGGATTGACATCCTCATCCTACATTTCACAATTACGTTGCATTTTTATGTGGTCCTAATCACATGCAGCTGTATGTTCCAGTTACTGTATTTGTTTGGGAATGGGAACATAGTTTACATTCGGTAGCTGTAGCAACCTCTTGCAAATGTTTTCCAGTTTTAATCCAGTGTTGGGGAAATTATAATTTAATTTGAATACTTTTTCTGTAGGAGGGGCACAAAATAACATACCAGTTCTGTGAGTAAAACTGGGCTGACATTAGCTAGCCGTGTAATGCAGCCTTTTTTTAATGCGCTGTTTTTTTTTTTTTTTTTTTTTTTTTTTAACAATGTCAAAAGGACGGTGAAATATGTAATAATATAAAAATATATACTGGTAAACATCAATTATTAGGAAGAAAGACACAATTTACATCTGACGTACATTTTTCTGGATAAGGTGATTCATTTGAGGGAACTGAATAAACAAATTAATGGATAAAAACAAGACATTGCAACAAGTAAAGAATATTATTTAAAAATGACAAAAGTTTTGATTGAACTAGAGAGGTTTCTCATCTTACTGCTGATCTAATCCGTCTGGTTTTATCTCGTAGCCTTTATGGAAATTATCTTGTAGCTGCCGTAATACTATTCTCATGTTTCTGGCTTTACAAGCACGACTTGTGAACAAATGTTTTTGTTTGCAAAAAGTACCAGAAGCTGTCAAAGACAATTTAGATCTAACTTGTGATTTATTGGTACGTCAGAATGGCATTCTGTGTTATCAAAGTTCCCCTGCAAATTTAGAAATTCTTGAAAATAATTGACTTTTATAATTTTCCAGATCTGGATACGGTTGTTTTCGTCAGTAGCTTTGATCACATTCGAGTTTAAAAAAAGGGCTTTATCATGACATTTTTGGCTTCTATTCAGGTTGACCTGAAGCTGTGGTTTATAAACACAACTGTTCAATTTCTGTCTGTACCTACTAGTCTGTACCTACTAGTCCTTACATGTAAAGTTGTAGATTTTGAAGCACAGCAGCAATCCAGACGATAGAGAAGTGAAATAAACTTGCTTCACACTTTGCACACTGTTTCTTGTTTTTAAATTTTTGAAACCTGCAGAAGATAAGACCTGATTATTAGTGAAGAAGTTAAAGGTTTCTATTTAGAGAATAACAATTTCAGGGGGGAAAAAAAACTAGAAATTTGAGTCTGAAACCGCATTTAATTTTGAAATTAAAATAATTTAAAAAATATGCTTTAAACCGTTTTCTTCCGATTTCCAATTCTTGTTTCACAATAATTAAATCTAGCATTTCTTTTTCTCATTTCAGGTTAGCGTTATATGTGTACGAGTACCTGCTACATGTGGGAGCACAGAAGTCAGCACAGACCTTCCTGTCTGAGGTAAGATGGCATCTTCGACTCAAGCAAGCGCAGAACACATTTAGCTCCGACTGAACGTTCAAAGTCCTCCTGAATTGTTGTCTCTCCTTGGAAATCACCTCTGCTTTAAGTTCAGCCGGCTCCTGTTGAAACATGTTACCTGTAAAGTGGACCCAAGTGCTTCTGAAGGCAAAACGGCTTTCTACATTCCTCAGTCTTAATGTAGATTATATTGATGCACACTCTTTCAAGTTTTAGCTTTTACACAGCAGGATAAACACTAGTAAGGACATAATTAAACGAACAGCATGTCAATATTTATGAAAAGTTCCAGGGAGATGCTGGTAATTTACGGCTAACTGAATAACTTTTTACCAGCTAAAACGTACTGAAAAGGTTGTGAAGTGGTAAGACCATCTCAGAAGACATCAGTGTGAGAAAGGCTAGAAAGGACATTTTGAACAATGTGGATTCCAAAGTGAAAAATGCATGGTGTAGTATGAAAGATTATTCATAAAAAATTAAAAAATGTTACGGATTATTCTTGCAATGATCCGTTGGCCATTGATTAAAATCTTTAGAATTTCTTTAACTGCTCTAGCTGCTTATCATTATACCGGTTACGGGAAAAAAAATATTGATTTGATATATCTAAGCCAGAAACATGTTTGTCTATAAGAAAATCAACAACCAGCGTTCTTTGGTGCACTTTGTTCAGAGTTTAGTGGAAATTGTGTAAAGGTAGGAACATATGCTTTGATGAATAAATAAGAATAACCTTGTATCTGTTTGCTCTGCTGCACATTTCCCTGATTTTCTCATGTCACCATGAAATAAAAACAAAGTTTGCTCAAATGAAACTGTACCTTTTTATAGACCGCTAAAAGAGAATTGCTATTGTTCAGTAAAACATGACCAGTTGATGTATACATGCATAATTTCTCAGAAGTTTTTCACAACTTAAATGTCCTTTTGAGGGAACATTTATAGAGTTGCACATAAACAAATGGCTGGTGGAGTTACTGAGCCGAGGCAACATTATATTGGAAGAAAAATCAAACTCGTGCACCTCATTGTGATTGACAGAAAATATGAAATAATGATGTTACTTCAAGTATTATCCAGAGTGGTTCCTAATGTTTTCTTATAGTTCTTTATTGGTTTGTTTTTTTAATTTTTTTTTTTTACAGTATTTAAAAAATCTTTTATTCTTTATGTTTTTCAGATGCACCAATAAATCCTTTCCTGGCCACTACAAATGTCTGCTATTATTCTAAGGGCTTTACATAAAAAGAATAGTTGTTGTGCAGGTTATTTTCTAGAGTTTGATTTTTGAATCCTTACGGAAATCAAAGGAATTACAAAATTTATGCACGCAGACATGTTCCTAACCTTTTGTTTTTTATTAAACTCCAAAAAAAAAAGTTTTACATTTAACTGATTTAATTACCTTTTGATCACCTGTCAGAGACAATAAGGAGATTTTTAAAATATTTTTATTTCTTGATTTTTCTCCCTCACAATGGTCTGATTTTTAAAAAAGAAAAAACATGGTTAAAAATCAGGTTCATTATTTCTATCTAAGTAAGGTCTTTTGGTTTTGGTTCTGTGCGGTCACTTCAAAGGTGTAAACATGATTTCCTGGTGGAAGCTGTTACGTAACGCTTCAGTTTTACCCCAGATCCTGCTAACTCTCCACCAATGAAATGCGAAAACCAAAAACAAAGCTGAAGTTCTTTGGAGAACGCCATATTCAGATGTTTGCACCAAAATACTTCCACAAAGCATCTCTTCAGTCATCTGGGAGCGTTTGAATCTGGAATCATGTCTTCAACATGTTCAGAGAAAAGCGTTAAAGAATGAAAGATGCCTGTCATGATGTTAGAAGCTGTTCTCAGTTTTAATCCCTGGACCTACAAACCAGATGCTATCTCTAATGACTCTCCTCCTTGGTTTCTTCTCAGATTCGATGGGAGAAAAATATTACATTAGGGGAGCCACCCGGATTCCTTCATTCGTGGTGGTGGTGAGTATCCCTGTCACGTTTTCCACATGCAGCAGCTTATTCCTGAATACAGTTAGGCCTCATATGCCTATTTATTTGTCCTGACCTCCTACAGTGTCTTACTATATTAGAGAAATCTACAATTGGTAGATACTTTTGAGCCCAAAAAAAAAAGAGATCATATCATGTAAATGTGCAGAAAATGAGATTCATGTCCTCGTCGATGATTTAAAAATGTCCTCCTAGAACTGAAAGTCCAGCCGACCATCAGTCTTTTACTTGACCAGACTAAGCGAGGCCCTGACCCCCGCCGCTCTCTCCTTCTTCTTGGCCCCTCCTCCCGCTCCCCAACCTTCCCTGCTGCCACTTCTGAAACAAAAGATCCAGATGGTTGGGGAATGGACCCCCATCTTTGCTCCTCCTCCTTTCCCCTCTCCTCACCCTTTGTGTCGCCCCCCACCCGCCGACTTTACCCCCTTTGTTCACACGGGAGAGGGCTTTTTAGCAGATTAACGCGTCGCATTCCAGCTTCCTTTGTGTCACCTCCCCACCTCCTCCTTGTCATTTCTCCCCCTCTGTCAGACTTGACCTGCTGGGTCAACACCTTAAGCCTGGGTCAGCATATTCACTGGATTTTACCTCACTGTTGCATTGTGGGATACAGTGCAGTCAAACATTTCTCCATTTACCCGTCCAAAAATGTCACAAAGCAGCTTGTTGAATTTAAAGGAGCTATAACTCTCACTTACATGAGTTTTTAAGTCATTTATGGCTGCTTTTTAAAATGACATTGCAGTTTTAGTCCTTTAAGTGTTTCTTGACACATTTCTCAATAAGTCTGTGTTTTCAACTTCAGTTTGATAATTACATTCTGAGACGTATGCAGTAGTCAACCACAAGAGCTCAAATGCATTCTTCAAAAATGTTGTTTGTTTGTTGGTGTTTTCCATCTCTGCATAAATTTAGAACCACAGTGGGAAACTGTTTGATACCAAATTCACCATTTTGTTATTTTAAAAACAAAATCTGTAACAGATGTGTAAGAGAAAAATGTGCCATCCCCACATACCAAAAGGTGATGCATGCAAATTGTTGAGGTCTTTCTGTTGCGGTGCTCTTTATCAACATTCATCTTGATACAAAGACATGGTTTTGTGTTATTGAACAGGTTATTCTGCCACCAAGAGCTGGTGAAGTTACACAAATGTGAATTTTACACCTCCTCAGAGCTGCAGTTTCCAAACTTCCTCCTTGTCAGCCACACTCAACTCCTTCAGACTAGCTAGAAGTAATTAGCAAACACCTGGTGGAACTGCTCATCTACTTTTCAGTACAACGCTGGTAAATAAGTTGTTTACATCAAAGGAATAATTGACGAGCGATATTGTAATGACTTCCTGAAAGCAGAGTTTCAGAAAGAGCAGGAGTTTTTAAGGAGTTAAGGCCCAAATTCAAGACTTTAAATCACACAGTAAATGTTCTTTAGTCATTTTAAAGAAAACAACTGAAGGTTGCTTTATTGTACTATTAAATGGCACTGTGTGCCATTTAATAGTAAAATACATAATAGTGTATTTTACATAATAGTGCCCTTTAAATTATATTTATTTAGGGTTTTGGATTTTTGATAAATAAAAAGTTGTCATTGTTTTTTTACTTTTCCTCATAATTACCTTTTTTTTTTGCTATCATAAGCCAAAAATGCATTATTTTCCAAAAGGGAGTATTTGAAGAAGAGGAAACAAAGTTTTGAAGTAATTTTTGATCTGTTTAGTGAAATAAAGGAGTTCAGGAGAAGCTGGAGACACTGAGAGCTGCTTTGTTTTTAGGAGAAAGAAAACGTCTGAGTCTCAGGCCTTTGGCATGTTTGTTAGCAATGCAGACTGCTGATGTGAAGTGCAGCTGAAGAGTCTGGCCGATTAGCCCTCTCAGTAGTTGTCTTGCTGTTCCAGTGCTCTGATAGTGTTTTTGTTAAGTCCGTACTTAAAGAATGATCCAGTAAAAACCTCTTACACAGGTATTCAGCACAATTATTAGCAGTTTGATTAGCCTCTCTTAAATGTAGGAGAAAACCTGTTGTCAAATCCCCCCACAATGAATAACAGGGTTGTCTGAGGCCCAGATTCGTAAATGGTATGTAATAACTAGCTATATTGTTTCGGTTACATTTACTTTACTTTACTTTTTGCAAAATATGTACTTTGAGTAGTTTGAGTGATGCACCGATGACGTCTCCTGTCCCTGCAGCCTCTCAGCTGACAGAAAACATCATCAGAGGAGAGGGAGAGATTAATTTCAGGTTTATTGTTGCCTGCAGAATAAGGACTTTTCTTCACTAAGTTCAAGTCCAAAATAATCCTTCATGAGAGAAACAGTGAAATGTTAAATCTAAGGTCTTCATCAGCAAAATATCAAAAGGTTTGCAATTATAATTTTGTTTTTCTTCTTTAATTTTATTTGATTTTATCTTGATGTTTTTAAGTTTCAGTTTCAGCTCATAGAAGCAGCTCAGACACTTGCAGTAAGCTACCCACCTTGAACAAATCAAATAAAGAACTTTCTGTTTAGTAGATTGTTCATTAATCCCTACTGCCTTTATGGACAGTGATTTAGAAAAAAAAAAACATTGCACAGCTGTGACGTTGAATGTAATCAGGGTAAAAAATTGTGCGCACCTGAATAAAAAAGTTAAGAACATCAGTTCAACCAGTGTAGAAAGTAATCAGCCAGTTACCCAAATGTAAAGAATTCAGGGCTGATTATACAGTAAATAGTTTGTCAATATTGTTGTCACATGAAGTATTTTACCCCTTCACACAATACAATATTTACACTACATGTTGGAAGTATTAATTTTAGAAGTTTTGTTGTTTTTTTTCTTACTTTGTGTAATATCAAACTTGTATTATATTTCCCTGTCTGATTACATCATTTAAAACTAATACATATCACTATTCTGTACTTGAGTAACCTTTTACTAATTCCTTTTACTAATCATTTTTATCTGAATAGCAACTTTTTACTTTAGTAAATCGAAATTTCTTTTTGGCCATCTACACACCTTTGACAGAAACTCACCATGGTGTTTCAGGGATGAGAGCATTTGCTCCTTTTGCACTTTATAGTGAGACATGGGCCCTGGTATGATAATACAAGTACATGTGCGTATTTTGAGTGAGTGAGCGGTTGATTGAGAGGGTGACACTGGGATTGTGTCCCTCTCACAAAGATGCTCAAGTGCATAAGAGGTGGTTTAAGAGTGCTAGGGAGATAATGAAAGTGTGTGAATGGGTTATGATGAATGGCTGTTACACATGGGCTTGGAGCGCTCTGTTTGCTAACCTCTGACCTCTCCTTCCCCTCTTCATTTTAGCGTATTCTGGGATTTGTATTGTGCAGCTCCAGACCGAAGGGAGACGTGCGAACACTCCAGCGAGGCAAAGGCCTTCCATGACTATGTAAGTGACAAATATTGAATGTCGGCTGACGCTCAGTGTTGGTTCTTCTTGAAACTCTGAAATGTTAGCATCTTCTTCAGGGACTTTAGGTTGAGTGAAACACATGCATTAAGGGGCGAGTTTGTTGCTGCCCTGTGGAAAGACATGTAAATAGGCCTGAAATGAATCCATTTTTCACTGCAGTAGCATAATCTCACAATGAAAAATGGTCTCAATTGAAAGCATCATTTCACAAGGTTGAAGCATAAACATTATTGTTGCTTTTAGATCATTTTCAACTAATGTAATGCTTACACAGAGACATTTGTATAGTTTTACTGGAAGCATGCCTTCAAAAATCAATAAACTTTTAATTTCTAAGTAATATTTAACATTGGAACAGTAGGACATTTTAAATACCCCAAATAAACAAACAAAACAACCGATACAACAAATAAAATGGAAAGTGAAGTCTGTGCGAACAAAGTTCCCCGTCAAAAAAAGGGGATGATTGAGACCAATGCAGGCGTTTGTCATTGGTCTTTGGTAGAAAGCGAGAGAAACAAGAAATTATTGAGCTCTTTTTAATTTAGACTGCAGTTTATTGCAACAGGCTTAGTGGTCATAATATGAGTTTCCACATATTCATTCTTAGTTTTCTTTTTTCTTTCTTTCTTTCTTTCTTTCTTTCTTTCTTTCTTTCTTTCTTTCTTTCTTCTTTCTTTCTTTCTTTCTCTTTCTTTCTTTCTCTTTCTTTCTTTCTTTCTTTCTTTTTTCTTTCTCTTTTTCTTTCTTTCTTTCTTTCTTTCTTCTTTCTTTCTTTCTTTCTTTCTTTCTTTCTTTCTTTCTTTCTTTCTTTCTTTCTTTCTTTCTTTCTTTTTTTTCATGTTTACAATCTATATCTCAACTGACCAAATCATACATTTACAGTTTCTTTGTCTTTGTGATGGTAGGACAAAACAGGCTGGTGGTTTTTATCAATCAGACAGCCAACCGTTCAGTGTCTAATGGTTCCTACAGAGAACCTGGGTTATAAGACGTCACTCATTTGCTGCAATTTCCTAGAATGAGCTTCAGAGGTTCTTTTTTTTAGGCCTCAGTTTAGTGTGGGTGAGAGCAAGATAAATATAGGTCCTCGTCCAGCCTGGTGTTCAGTTGCTAAAAGAATGGCATGCTGTGTCACATCGCATTTATACCCCGGGAAACTAAAAGTCATGGATTACTCATCAGAGGTTCCTAGAAATTCAGATAATCCTGAATCTGTGGTTGCAAAAACAGGTGAAGATTTAGAGGTAGAGTTGTTGTTGTCAAGTCGTTTACACTGAAACTACTTGAGTTTACTCACTTGTCTGGTCTTTTGGCAACCCCACATTTACCCCTCAATGTGTGTTTCTCATCTGTGTGTCTCCCAGATCAAATGTCACCTAAATGAACTTCATACTGTGGAGAAAAAGCTGCTTTCTCTTGACTCTTATTTTAACAAACTCAGAGCTTTGCATCTTCGCTCACAAACATTATCACATGTTTGTTTGTGTATTATTTTGCATGTGTCTGAGGCCGTCTAATGGATTCAGCTGAAAAAAGATGGAAAACTGACAAATACTCTGACCATTTTCCAGCTCTAAGGTTTGATCTTCTGAAGGGAAGTTTCATTGGCTTGGTGTTGTGGTCTTGATGCATGCTGTCCAAATGCCTTCAGTGCTTGAGATAATAAGTCATTCTGTGGCATTAACATTGATGATCAGCTGATGGCTGTTTTACTGCAATTAGAAGAAACCTGAAAAAAAAAATCCTAAAGCGTCTCTGCTCTCCCTGCTTGCTTATCGTGTTTCTCATTCAAAGTCTCTTCAGACATTTTCATCTCATGACTGGGACTTCCTACTTTCAGCTGATCATGAGGCTTAAAGAGCAAACTGTGCAGATGATAGATTGGGAGGCTTCAGATGTCACACAGTGGATTCAGTGACAACTCTTAACTTTAGTTTTTTTATACATATATAAAAGCAGAAAATGCTCAAATCCGGCTCTTCTGGTCAATATCAATATTTCCATTTTTCCTTTTGTCTTGACCTCCCAATTCTGAATTTTTTAAAAACTTTCCATGCATTATAGAATGCAGATGAGAAAGCTATACACTGTGTGTGCAGTGCTCAGGAGTTTTGAATCCAACTAAATGTATAGCAAATATGAGATTATCCTTTTTATTCAACGAAACACAAGTCATGAAGCACTTGTTGACCAAAAGTTATGGGAGTTTGATCCATTTAACAAACCAGAGGCAAAAAAGTCAAAAATTTTCAGCCTTTTACTGCTGATCACAGATGAAAGCTAGCAAAGAAAATGTACTGATTATGGTACCGGACCAATTTATTGATGCATTTCTAGTTACAGTGGCTGTTGAAGATGTTGACTTATTATTCTCTTTGTACATTAGCAAATTGCTTGTGTTTTTTTATGTGAAAATGTTGCAGAAGTTGTCACGATGATCTGATATTCTTTATCCTCAGAAGGGATTAAATAAGACGGCAACCGTTACATAGAGAAGAAAGTTTTCCAAATGGATCAACTGGACAAAAGAAAGAAAATGTAAACGTTTTAATGCAATTGTGAAGAAACGTTGAAAAATTCAATCTGCAAGTTGTAGGCCTGAGCTCTTCTGACTTTAAGAAACGTCCATTTAATCGTGCAAAAGAAAAATTCCAGCATTTTGTTTCAAACTTTTTGGTAAACATGTTGTCTTTGTGATATGCTACCAATTGTAGTTGTTTACTCATTAGCAGTGATTTTTTTTTTTCATGGCTAACAGCAAAGTTAGGTATAATACACCATATTTTCACGCTATAGTTAAAGAAACACTGTAACTGTATGGTTTTATGTGTAAACATCAGCTGTTGTGATTGACACTGTTGTCTGTCTTCAGCCTGTCCTCTCTGACCAAGACTATGCATGTGTGTGTGTGTGTACTGTATAGTGTGGGGAGATAATGGAATAGAGTTCTAATCCGGTAATCCCAGCACTGGGCCGAGGCTAAGCCAGGGATTTGTGTGTGTACGTGTGTGTTTTGCTGGTGGTGGGGCATCTTTGGCAGCCTGCCCATAAGAGGGTGGCTGGGCTCAACACCCTCCTTCCAGTTAACGCCATGTATAAATGTAGATGGGCATATGACATGGACACTTGCTGTCTGCTCCCTGACGGCGCTAAAGCTCAGAGACGGGACCGGTTTAATTTTGGCTCCAGCCCCCCGAGGCTAGCCTCTGAGCACAGGTCCCCTCTCTGCTGGTTTCAAAAGAATGAGCCAGTTAAAGGCAGCGCCGGAGGAAAAAAAAGAAATTTCACCTCGAAAGAGTTTTAGTCCTGTGAACTTGCCGGATCGCACGCTGGCATTAAAGACACTCTTATCACTGTTCTCGCTGCTGGACACAGAGAAACCGCAGAAGTTGCCTCGACAGTAACTAAAACTCTTTGCAAAGGTTCGGTTGTAGTTGGTTTTAATAATTGAATTACAGACATGTTTCATTTACAGGGTTTGACTTGAGAAAAAAATGATATTGAATAATTGATTTCCTTTTCTATAAAACCCATTAGATCTAATTTAGTGTGTTTATCTTATCACTATAATTTCTGAAATACAGATGCAAAAATAAATTTTAGTTCAAATGTCAGGATTCAGGTTTGTTGGTGAATGTTTTCATTTGATTTGCCTGCTTTCTGTTCAGTGTCATTAATCCTGCCCTGATGGTATGTAATATGTATGACTATTTCAAGTGTTATATTACAACAGTTTTCATTCAGTTTATTTAGTTTGTTATATGGTTCAGATAAACTCAAATGTCAAGCCTCTCGCAATAAATCAATTAATCGCATGATAAATTAAAACGAGCTTCATAATTTCCATGTGCATGATTGTTTGTCTCTCTTTCTTTAAAGACAAAAGGCTTGAAACTGGCAGACTGATCTCCACTAGCTTCTGTTTTGATGGGTAGTTTTGTTTACAGAAACTTCAGTATTTATCTTACTCATTATTTTGAGGGTTTTGTTGATTTATTTCGGATATTTAAAATATCTTCTAGCTCCAGCATTAAATGTTTGTCAGAAATAAAAATGTATTAGTTGTTGAAAGGCTGTCACTTACATTATTGCTTGAAAATTATCTTGAAATACCACTATTACCATTTATCGCAATAACTTCTGGGACAATTTATCATCCAGTTAAATTTGTTACCATGATATGCCTAGTCAAGTTCACAGTCTAAATTCAGACGTCTCCATTCAATCAGTTACAATACCAGACAGTCTATTTTCAGATGGTCATGCCAGTGAGTCAGAATTACCTCTCTGCCCAGCTGCTGGCATCTGATCATTGACTTTGCAGCAATGCCTCGTCCCTTGCAAGCATGTGGCGACAGTAAGTTTCCCGTGGGGAACAAAGACAAATGCAACACAAAGTAAAGGCTGGAAAAATGTTCCCAGCAGAGATATAGCTAAATGTTAATACATAGTACTGCTGCTTTCTGTGGCAAACAAAAACCTAGAGCAAGGGTCAAAGGGTAATTGGCTCCCTCAATATTTTTACTCCGGAAAGATGGAGAGGAATGTTTAATAAAAAATGTAACGTTTTCATGTCTGGCTGAGATTCTTTGGTTCTCTCCGGATTTCTGCTTAAAAAAAACAGAAACCTGGCTTCTATTTAACCCTGTTGAAATTTTAATTGATATTTCTGCTGAAAATGTGTTTTCTGGCTTCTGTTTAGGTAGTTTATTTGTTGATGAGATTCTCACTCTCCACTTGCTGAGTCCCTCGGGATGATCTGCTTAAAGCTTATAAGCTTCGTTCACACCTGGCATTAACGTGCATCCTAACTGATCCGATCACAACAGGACAGCTCTTTGTACACTCAGGCATCAGAGTGTGCCGCCAGTAACTTTTAAGTAATCACTCGTGATTAGATCGCAGATCTTTGCTCAAAGACAAAAATAAACACGCAGCCTCTGTACTTTTATTTTGACAACCAGGACCTGAGT